TCGTAAGGGGGGGGCGCGTTGGGCTGCGCCATGCCGGCTCACTGCGTCTCCCGCGGGCACCTGGAGGGGAGAGAAGATGGAGGGCTGTCAGCACAGGACCCTCTCCCTGGGCAGGACGTGTCCCTGGTGAGCAGAACCGCCGGTGCCGGGACGCAGGGGACAGTGAAGCCACAAAACCTCCCCCTCCCACTTTAATAGCGGCTTCTAATGAATAAGGACGAGGTGGCCTCAATGCCAGCGGGTCAATGAGAGGCGAGGGACATCCCCACTGTCCTTTGGCCGGGGCCACCCGCATTCCTGTGCCCTGAGTCCCCAGCACCTGCGTCAGTGGCCAGCCTCGGGCAGGGCACAGCCACGCACCGACTCAAGCTGCGGTGGGGACGTGACCTCTCTGGCAGGGATGTGACCCCCTCTGGCCTCTGGAGCCATCAGTGGGGAGCAGGGAATACCTCCTGCTGCACCCCACTAGGTCCCTGGCTTCTGCTGGCACCGCCCTGGGGACAATCGGCATCCCCCTGCCCGCTGCTTCGGATGGAAACATGCAGACCCTACCAGCATCCCCCCTCATTATGGGGGTGCCCCCCCACCCAGCAGCCCACTGGGTCACGTGGGGGGGCTCCCGAACTCCTGAGTCCCCCCCCAGGGACTTATAGGGACAAGGGCCACCTGCGTCACCTCCAAGGGAGGTGGATGCGTCCCTGGAGAGGGGAGGCAGGACCCCCCCAACCCCCCCGGGGCTGAGCCCCCCTCCCCAGCCATGCCGGGCCCCTTTGCAGAGCCCCCAGCAGCTGCCAACAGCCAGCCCGGGCCCAGGGCCAGCCGCTGGGCTCGGCCCCCGGAGCCGGAGGAGAAGGAGGAAGAGGAGGAGGAAAGCAGGATCTCCAAGGCCAGGAAAACAACAGCGCTGCCAGGACCCGGGTGCCAGGCTTTTACCCCCCTGCCACCCCCCAGGGAACGCCTCACAGGCAGGTGCCAGGCCCCCCCACGTCTCCCCCCTGCCCGCAGCGGTGACGTGACTGGGAAAGGCACCAGGATCTCACCCAAACCGGGACGGGGCTGGGAGGGGACCGGGAGGTTCTTCCAGCATGACGCCAGCGCTTCCCTCAGCCGGGCAGGGCGGGCAGCGGGGCTGGGGTGGGGGGCACACCCAGGCTCAGCCCCAGCTCAGCGTCCCTCCGTCCCTCCCGCCCTCCGTCCGTCTGTCCCAGCCGCGGGGGAGCTGCCACAGCTACGTCACCCACCCTTTGCCATCACGGGGACGGTGGCGCCGAAAATAACCAGCGTGGCGGTGACCACCCAGATGGAAAGTTTCACTTTTGCTGCTCTATGCTTTCCCGAAAAAAAACACCCCAGTGCCAGGGAAGGACCCAAAATAGCAGCCTGATTCCAGGAAAACCCCTGTAACTGGCAACCAACTGGGGGGGGAGGGATGGGGGGCAGAGTCCCCAGGAGGAGTCTCAAGCGTCTGGGGAAAGTGGGGTGTATCCAGCTGGCACATGGACACCGGGGGATCCCACCCTGTGCCCATGGCTGGCACCCCCTGGCACCCCCTGGCAGGGGTCCGGCGGCTGCCCCAGCCCCTCCTGTCCCCTCCCCGGCGGGGGGGCCTCGGGGGTGAGGGAGGGACCAGCC